TGCATATACAGTGGAGCCTCGCTTAACGAGCACCTCTCATAACGAGGAATTCGCATAACGAGCAAAACAAATTGTAAAAGGATGACTCGCTTAACGAGCGACGTTTCGCATAACGAGTGACAAGAGGGGAAGTCCCGGATTGTGCGCTAGCTACATCAGTCTGTGTTTAGCACTCGTTCCGCTATCATCTTAGTGTCGCTTGTGCTTACACATCTTTCCAAACTTGTGTTCAGACATATATTAGTTGCGATTTTTTTGTGCCAAGTTTAACCCTTGCAAAAATGTCCCCGAAGAAAAGGCCGCAAAAAGACAGCCTTAAGGGAATAAAAATAACCGTAGAAATGAAAGGTAAAATCACTGAAAAGCGAGAACGAGGTGAGCGTGGCTGATCTAGCACGCACATACAATCGGTCTACATCAACGATTTGCACGATTTGGAGTTGCATTGTGTTTCACGGCAAGAAGTTGTGGAGGAGAGTTTGTCAGAGGAGGAGGTAACAGCAAAGCAACAATCTTCTGGCGCAATAAGAGAAATGCTGAAAGCATGGGAAACTTGCATCGTACATTGAGAAGCAACCCTAATTAGGCAGTGGCTATGCGCGCTACAAATTTATTTAGTGATAATGATGTGTCGCGTTTTCACCAAATTTTGAAGCGTCGGCAAAAACAAATGTCTCTTAGACAGCTTTCCAGTAAAAAAGAATTAGATATGTATCATAAATAATAAAATAATTATTTCTATTTTTTTCTGCAAATCTAATTCACATTCCAGGTTGCATTCATTCTGCATAGAAGAAAAGATGAAGATGATTCATGCTCCTTAACAGTGTATATATATATAATTTTCTTTGAATAAACGTTATACATAAACTTTTTTTAGTATTTTTTCGCCATGGAAGGCATTATCGTATTTTACATTAATTTATATGGAAGAAATTGTTTCGCTTAACGAGTGTTTCGCATTACGACTGGAACGAATTATTCTCATTAAGCGAGGTTCCACTGTATTTTTCTGTTAAACTATCTACGTAATTCACGAAACCTGGAATATATTACGATTTTAGTAATGTTCGTAAATGTATTTTTCCGAAATACTGACATTTCAGAACGCTCTCAAGTGCACCATATCACAGTTATCTTGATTGACTCTTACAATTTCCGATAGTTACCTAAATATTCTGTTTTCGAATGTTGCCATTATTAACTTTATTGTTTTTCGACATATGTGAAGCATATACATATACTTTATATGAAATGTATCCATCCCACAATAATAGTGGGCTTAGAACCAAAACGATAAGGCTGTTTAATACAGCTAAAAGAACATGGCAGTGGGACACATACAAAGAAGCCCTTACCCGTTACAACAAAAAATAAAGAAAGCCAAGTGATCCTCATAGAGGAGGCATTGCCAGAAGATCAATGATGTACCAGGCGGTGCCAGACTCATGAGAATCATAGCAAACCAGGCGACCAACAAGGTCAGCACGATTAAGCTGCCTAACAGGCAGTATACTCAAACAGGAAGGGAAACAGTGAATGAATTATTAAGGGTTCACTATCCTGATTCAAAATTGACTCATAATTTGGACGGACAGGGTCAGCAAAACCTGGGCACTTGCCAAAGCAAGACGAACAGGGTAGACTGGAACCTGCCTGAAGCCATAATTAACCAATCAAAAATCAGATGGGCACCCAATACCTTTAAACCGTTTAAATCATCAGTAACAAATGGAATTGTTCGGGCACTTTTGCAGCAAGGGGCAGAACTCTTAGTTCCACACCTATGCCGCATATATAGAGCCTGCATGGCATATGGATTTATCCCCATGGCCTGGAGGCAAGGTAAGGTGACATTTATCCCAAAGCCCGGGAAACTACATTACACCGAGGCTAAGGCTTATGGTCCTATCAGCCTGTCATCTTTCCTTTTGAAAACGATGGAGAAAATTGTGGATAGGCATATCAAGGATGCGGCGTTGAGGACATATCCTCTACACCAAAACCAGCATACCCACCAAACAGGTAAATCTACCGAAAGCGCACTACATAATGTGGTAACACGCATAGAAAGTGTGATTGAACACAAGAATATTGCTTTAGAAGCATTCCTTCACATAGAGGGAGCTTTTGATAGAACCTCATTTGATATAATCAAACAGGCCGCTGGAAAGCATGGCATAGAGTCTGCAATATGCAGGTGGATCAGTGCTATGCTCAAAAGTAGACCATAGCTGCCACACTATCAGGAGAGACACTGGGGGCGCCCGCGTCTAGGGGGTGTCCACGAGGGGGGGGGGGCTCTCGCCTCTGCAGAAAATTCCTTTCGACAGTAGAGCATCTTCAAACAGCTCTGCACATTGTCCAACGATGGTGTGAAATAACAGGCCTTTCCATCAATTCTAATAAGATGGTAATTATACCGTTCTGATAATTGTCACATTTTCTGTAATTTTAAATACTAAAATGCGTTTCAATTATAAAAATTGATAAATTTATTAACGTCATCGTTGCCGATTCTTCCTAAATACTTCGTATTCTCGAATAAATTCAATCAACCGAGCATCTGGGCATCCCTGGCCACATCCGTGAAGGCTATGCTACAGTAGGCAGTGACATCACCATAGTTTGAGCAATCAGACACCTGCGCAGCCCACTAAGTGATTGGCCAGAGTTAGGTCGGATTGGGTCAGGTTAGGTTAGGTTTGCGCACAAACTACTGCGCATCCACCTGGTAGTCCAGCAGAGCTCCCACAGACTAGGCACCTTAAGTCTGGTCACAGTGGGTTGGGTTAGCTCAGCTCCAACCAAATTGCCACTTGGCTTGGAGGTCGGCATATCTTTTATTTTCTGGAAAGTCTTATATTTATTGAACACTTCGACATTCTCAATTCTTTCTACATTTCCCCAATATTAAATTAGTGAAAATTGTCATTATTTTTACATTTTATAAAATTATGTAATTTCTCAAATTTTCTGTTTACAATATTTCTGAATTTAGTTCATAATCACCGATCATTTCTTGATTTTTAAACACCTATAAATTTAAATTCCTAACAAAATATCTACGTTCAAATTCCTACAAATTGTGTAAGGTGCGACATTGTGCATTTTTTTCAACATTGAGGACATCCAAATTGTTGCCATATTCAAAAAGTTTCAAGTTATTTTATATATTCCAAATAACACACTTCTGAAATATTCACTTATTTTGACAATAGCTGAATTATCAACATTCCAATACATATGACAATTTTATAAATTAAAAAAAAATTGTGAATTTCTCTCAACTTTGAACATCTTCAAATTTTTGTAGCATCGTGTACATCGCAAACACTGCAACCCTCAAGAATATTAGAATTATCAGGCTGTTTTAATATACAATAACCATAAAGAATTGTAATTACCTACTTCTCTTACAGTCTTTGAATGTTGTAACCCTCAATTGTGTCATGACTTTCGTTAACCGTCTACCTCAAATTTTAGTTAAATTTCAAGCCTGACATCTCAAACATTTTCCACAATTTTCATCTCTTCCAAAAGCCAATCCACGTTCTTCACACTAACTCCTCCTTGAAAAGCAGCTAGTTGCGCAGCTACTCAAAAATTTCCCAACATTTTATGTGACCAGAACGTTCATTACAATGTTCACAACAGCCCTCCACTGAGCAACCACAACCAGCATTTGCCAAACATTGTACCTCCCTATGATCCATCTTAATATTATCCTCCCACCTACTTATATGTCTACATCTACATATTCCAAGGGTCTCCTTCCTTCATTCTGGCTTTCCCATCAAAATCCTATACGCATTCTTGCTTTCTGCCATGCATGCTACATTATCTGTATACCTCAACCTCCACACCTTCATCATTCTACTTATCTTTGGCGAGGAGTACAAGTTACAGAGTTCCTCTTCATGCAGTTTTCTCCAACCTCCTAGTACTACATCCCTCCTTGGATCAAATATTCTTAACAACCTTGCACCATGCTCCCCCCTTAATATCAGACACAAAGCTTCACACACATACAGAATCATTGGCAAAATTATAGTTTTATATATTTTATATTTTACATTTCCAGAGAGCTGACAAATAGAAAGAAAGTTCTGGAAAGATTGGTAGCAAGCACTGCCCAAATTCAATGTCCTCTCAATTTCCTCCTCAATCAAAGATTCATTTGTTACCATTCTTCCAACATATTTGAACTCTTCCGCATTTTGAAAGGATCCGTTACCTATTTCCATACGTGCTTCTCACTGTGTTTACTTCTAGACCAACCTCCTTACTTGTATGAATTAGGGCTTCTGTATTTTTCTTTATGGTATTGTAACGTGTTTTGCCACTGAAGACGCCGTTCAGATTGTTAATTTGTTTATTTAACAACCTACAAATCGTAGCTACAATTGATTATAACACTCTTGTGGATTTACACACTTTACAAACCCTACTCATAAATCTCTTCATACTATCTTCAGTATAGCACACGTTCCATTCTTCTTCCCGCGACTGCTACATTTTAACTCACTCCTTAAGAATTCCAGTCTCCCTTATAAACCCTCAGTCAGACAGTGGGAAACCCACCTTGCTTCATTGTTGTGTAAACGCCATGTTTGCAGGCGCTGCTGGGCAACGCTGCTGAGTTGTTTAATACTGCATAGCAAGCAGCATGCTTCGGCTTGTCTCAGCACGGCATGAACAAACACCGTTTTCCTTACCATTGCATAACCTCGTTTCCACTGTTGCGTAACCCGGCAACTGACCTTTTATCCAGAGTCTGTCTTCGTGGTGACTCGTTCCACCTCCCGTTGCCCAGCAATGGTTACACATGTCACAGTATTTATGCTTCCTCCTAATAGATTCACATCATCGTCATCATCATCACAGGCCAGCAGTTAACTTGTCTGATTTAATTTCAGTCCCACCTGGTTTTCCTCCACCCTCCTAATAGCAAAGTTCCAAGGCAATGAGGGTAAAGCATCTCCTTGTTCTAGGCAATTTCAGACAGAAAACACACCAGAAAACTTTACCTATATGGCCTTTACAACACATTTCACAAATCTTAATCAACATAACTAGATTTGTTGGTACCCCAAAATCTATGAGAATACTATACAAATATTACACATGTCACAATATAGTTTTCCACGCGTTTCCGTGTATGAGAGGTCTTATGACATAAACGATCTTCAAAAGTTCCCGATATTAAATGTCAACATTCTTACCACGGATTTTCAACAATATACCATAATATAATAATATAAAACATAAAATACAATAAAGAGTAATGATTTCAAATGAGATAAGATTAAGGTAGGTTGTTGCAATCGCAATGTTTAAGTCGTATTGTTTTTGTGGACATATGGCGATAGTTTTCTTGCTCTTAAACATGTGTTAAGTGATTAAAATGCTTGGAGGCCCATTGGTATGCATGCAGTATTATCTAGTTTTCATATGTGGAAGTAATATAAAGATAATATTTGACAGGTACCTCTATTTACGTTTATTATGTCCCGTCTGGTAGCAAAGCTGATTGTGGATTATATCATGGTATATTGTCGTAAATCCAATAATAATGTACTGAAATATACAGTGTGCAATTCAATAGCTTTGGAACGTGTTAATTGTGTATTTCCCTGATAAAGGCTCTCTAAAAACCCAAAACATGTACCAAAGTACTGTTAAACATCAACGGTTTTGTTGTGTTACTGTGATGGATTTTAATAAAGAAATTTATATATTTAACACTACAGGATGCATCCATTGGAAATTAAAATTATAATTTACAATAAACAAATTCACGTACTGTGAATTTTATCAATCACATTAATAAGTATCATATAACTGAAGTAGTATGGTCAGCCTTATGAATGTGAAACACTCATATTCACAAAGAGCCTGACACTGACATCAAAAGAAAACAACTGAAGTGGAATCAATTCTACGAGTTATCATACTTAGTGCAAGAATGTGTGTGAGGCCACATCCTTAATGTTAGGGTACATGGAACTCTGTGATTCATGCACCACGGCACTGGATACTAGAAAACTAGTACTTCGACTTCACTAATAGGGTCCTTGGAGCTCTTATGATTAAAGAATTATGTGCAATGCAACTCAAACACCCAAAGCTAACAGTATGAAAACACCATGCTCCATAACAGAAACCATTATAACTTGGTTCACAGACATTAATATTTCTCATTCATCACAACACCTAACTCCATGGTGTCACATATTTATTACCTACTCATCACAAGACAAACAAAATTATCAGGAAGATATTTACACCTAAGAAGGATCACATCTCAGCAATTCAGGACACTGAACTAACTATAAATACAGTATATCACCCAGAATTTCTGACACTTCAATTGCCTCACAAGTAGGAAGCATTACAGGGCACATAACATTCATACCAAATTTTCTGTGGGGAAACCTCCTTGCAAGATGGAACACCTCATGGCTGAATAACATTTAAAACGGGAGGTATCAATAAGCAGATATTTGCATCACAGCTCGATTCAACTGGCTATAAATCACATCTAATGAACATCTCTGTGACTGTGACTTTCAACCTTCACATTCTGCTGCCGCAACACTGCTTCTTAACATTCAATCAGTCACTTAATGCCATTGCTAAGGTTTAGGCCCACAACAAGCAGTAATCATGTCTCTACTATAAACAAAAACTCAGCACAACTGCATTCACAGATGTTATGTATAAGCACACATAATCATTAAGAGCAATATAATCTTCACACTAGTAGAACAGAATGAAAATACTAGCAAATGATACGAGTGCATTTCCAGTAATATCAGGGGACAATATTAATATCTGATGTCTAAATTCATTCCATTAAACTAAATTCCATCATTACTTCTGCACAGTTGTGGGATGATAAAATGCTCAATGACATGCTTCATAAACATTAATCAAGACGAGGGTAATCTGTCCAACAAACTCCGGTTAACCTCACATCTCAACCTGCCACTGAATACTTACTTTGTTCCTCTCACTAGAATAATCTACTGTACATAACCATCAAACTCATTCAAGTCTAAAGAAATCCAGTCAAACACTACACACTACTTGGTAACTGTCATCACCCTCCAAATTGTGCGATAACACAAGAAACACAACTGTACAACCTACATGTTTCACTAACAGGGCACAAATAATAACATTAATCATACAATTAGTACCAGTGGATTCAAGGGAAATTCGTTTACATGGTATGAATACTATTCCACAGAAGCCCACACCAACATAACTTTTATTTTCCTACGATAACATAATACTGCATGATGGAGATAAAACCTGTCACACTGTGTTCATGATGCATATCACTGTGCATTCGGACAGGGAAGGGCCTAGTTCAGTTACCTGAGGTTATAACAACTGGGGCATAACATCAATGACTAAGACACTGCAGGTTCATGCTATCACAAACATTTTGCACACATCCAACTCTTCAAAATTCCCCAAGGACCTCAAACTTACAGAATTCTATACTTCACAGTGCTTAGTATTCCTGAAGGCTGGTCTGGTTTACTTATGGTAAGTAACACTGGAGGTGTAGGGAACTGTACATAATCTTGGAGTTATATTACCACTCTTCCATACACTGACTGCCCTGGTTTCCTGAGAGATGAACACATGGTTTTGACCGTACTTTCATTTTGTCTTTCTAAATATGTAATTTACCACATTCAGTCTCCAGTCACGTACAACACAAGTAGTTATTTCGTTCTTACCTGCACATCATGGTGCAAGCACATAAATGGAACTCACATATTCAGACCCATAATGTTATCTGAGAGGACGTGGATTCTCCTGAACAGTAGGCGCATACCACATACGTAGAATCAAATCCACTCCTCCCTCCTGCACCCACTGAAACACATTCATTCATTCATTCATTCATTTATAGTTCCAAAAAATCCATAGAGGCATCTGCCTCAGATACAGAACAAGTCAATAATACAATATAACATAAATCCATCCATCCATCAGTAATCTGTCA